ATGCGGAAAGTAAATGACGGAATATAAATGACGGAATAATAAAGATGCGGAAAGCGTAATAAATAAATGACAGAAATAAAATGCAAGTAAAGACAATATATAAATGACGGAATATTAATAACGATAATATAAATAAAGCGATTAAATAAAGCAATAAAAGAACTTGAAATGTAACCAAAAGATTTATAAAATTAAGAGACTTGTTCTTCAAGTAGCATGCAAACTACTTGAAGAGAGAAACAAGAGAGAATATGGAGTGAAGTGTGGAAGGTGTGGTAGTGAAGTGTGTTGAGTACTCCTCCCAACATCCCTTTTTATACTAGGGATGGAGTGAGGGCAAAAAGGTAATTTCACACTCACTTAGTTCAAAAGAAACTAAATAGTACATAATAGTAAACTAATATTTAGAAAGTAACTACAATTAGTCTTGTAAACTCCAGCTAATCTGATTAAACTACAGCTGGTTCACTTTAGAAAGCTCTCAAATGTCTTCCCAAGTCATGTCAGTCAACTCCAAGTCTCATCCATCTCTTCATCTGTCATCAGGTCATGCTACCACATTCCCACAGCATCGACCTGCTCCAATCTGTCCAAAATAAGCTTAATTTAGACCAAAATCCACTGGAAACAGGTTCATCGTTTACTTCAAAATAAAAATAGAGAAAAGAGATAAAATGACTCAAAGTTAGGACATGAAAGCAAAATAACTTATCTAAAAGAGAATAAAAGGTACTTTACGTACTAAATACTTAGTACGTATCACCAATCTTGGTAAGTTCTTCATCCTCTGACCATCCACCATCTCCTCAACCAGAAACAACCTTACCCTTTACCCCATCACCTACACCACCTCCATCACCTACCCAACCAGAACCTTCCATCACTCAACCAACTCAACCAGAACCAATACAACCAGAGATTACTCAACCAAAACCCACTCAACCAGAAATCTCACACAACCAGAAGCCACACACCAACCAGAACTCATTCTTTCCCAAACACAACCCATCACACAAACAGAACCACCCATCACCCAAACACAACCACCCATCACCAACCTACCCAGAGGGTGCCTGCAGATATTCCATCTTCATCAAGACAAGCTCCAACATTGGACAGAGTTGAATAAATCGTCTCTCAGATGGAAACTCTATGGAGACGTCCGCCAATGCCACGAAGGGAACACATCATGATGGAGAATATCCATCAATATCTCTACCATGTTCACGATGAATAGCTAGTTCTTAATTCTCCCAACCTATCTCCTGAGTCGATGGACCTGCTACGACATAGATTCATGAGACAGACGACCTCTCCACCACAAGCCGTCTTCTCCAATGATGGAATCAAGACAGTCCTCGACATCAAGATGCGGACCTTTGCAAATAAAGCTATCAAATACATCGAGTATACCGTGGAACGCACACATGGGATGATCAGCATCTTCAACGACAATGATATTATATCTAAAACCCAAAAATTTCGAGGAATAAATAATTTTATCTTCATTAATATTCTTTTCGTTTCTTTTTTTTCTTTTTTGAATTATAAAACACACACACGAACTTATATATATATATTAAATGAATAAAGAAATTAAAAGAAGTTTAAAAATCGGACCAAAAGTGAAAGAAAAAGTCAAGACATGGGTGAAAGTTGTAAATTCGCGATAGTTAAGGAGTTGGGTCAGATGTAAACAGGTCCAAATCAGAAGGACCTGTTTTGTAAATTCGCCAGATCTGAAATTTTCAGAAACTTGAAAACGACATTTCGTTTGAAGCCTTCTACTGGTCTGCATATTCAACTATTACGACAAAAAAATTACATATACATGTACACAACACTTTGCTCTACATTTTTGCTTCAAGAAAACCGAACTTTTGTTTTCGAAAGAGAAATCGGAGGTTGAAGTTCAGGTTCGAAAAGTTCCGTTTATTGACGATTGGAGGTAAAATACTCAACCAAATTTCGAGTTCTTTATATGGATGGCTTCGTTTTTAGGTCCTCTATGAAACCTTAGTAGCCTTATGTATCATATTTTAGTTTTGAATGTTCGATTTTGAGTTTTTTTACTGATTTTCGAGTGGTTTTAAGACCTTAACTTTAAACGAGCTTGTGAGACTCAATACTTGATGGTTTTCGTTGATTTTTGTTTCCATGGTTGAGGAAAATCATTTTCTAGAGATTTTGCAAAAAGAATCATCGAAAACGATGAAGAAACAAGGCCAAACAACCTGTTTTTCCGGCTGCCGGCGTGATCTTTGCAGCTGGCTGATTGTTAGGCCACGATTTTGTTGGACTTTCTATTTTATTTCATTGATGTTAGGCCAAGGATGAGACTATATTTTAGGCCCTTAATTTTTGGGGCATAATTGGGTACTTAAGGTATAAGATTTTTGTCAATTTATAGTTAATAAATTTCAGATTTAGTTAATTAGTTTATATTAACTAATTAATTTAATTTCTAAATTAGTTAATATATTAAATTGAATTAGTATTTAATATATTGTGACGTTTTAATTTGGAGAGATGAGATTATAAGATATTATTTTTGGGATGACATCGAGTCTTAGACTTAGGCTTGACTAAAGTTAGTCTGGTTGGCCTAGTTGACCAAGGGTTGACCTTTGGCATGTTTGACCCATGTGGATATTAATGATGAGTCAAATAGAGTTGTTTGAGGCATATTAAGATGCTCGGATACGAAGTTTGACTTTAGGTTGGGTCATAATGATAATAGTTGACTTTTGTTGACTTTTTGAGAAATTAAGACGTTAATGAAATGTTATGGTATGAAATGTGTAGGCATTTGGTCAAGAGCGATCGGTAGTCAATCTATACGCAATCAGGTGAGTCTTCATGAGACTTACAATGAGATGCATACCTATGTATAAATTTATTTTTGAGCATTATATGATTTATATGGTAATGTGTACATATGCATGATTTTTCAGTTTACATAAATGATATATTTTACATGTATGTTATTTTGTGAATGGTTACATGCTAAGTGTTTAATCAGTTTTCGAATAACTCTAGCATGTTGTTCCATATTAAAGTTTATGATTCAAGGGGTGGGCATTTGACTAGTAAGTCACGACCAGTATAAAACACGACCCGAAAAAGTGGGTGATCAATCAAGACTGACATATTAACCCAGGGCGTGTTTGTGACTAAATGACCCATACCCGACTAAACATTATATGAGATCTCTTATTTTTAGTGTTTTAAATATATATTTTCTTAAAGATGTGACTTTTATTATAAAGCATGCATATATGCCATATATATATATATATGTCAAGATATGATTTTATTCACGCAAATCATGAACTCACTGAGCTTTATAAGCTGACTATAGTATGCATCTCAGGGTCAGGTAGTTCGAGGTTGGATAAGGGCAAAGAACACGCTTAGAAAGTTGCTAATTATCATCTTATTTTTAGTCTTTTGTCTAGCAGCGTTGTGTCGATCTTTTGTAACTTAACCTGGTATGAGGTGGGTTAGAACTTAAGTTAATTTTTGGTTGATTCAAAGACTTCCGCTGTAAACGGTTTAAACGGTTTTACTTTAGCCGTCTTTTGGAGTATTTATTTAGGAATATGTTTCAGATTACGTAACATTCTCATATTATAAAAAAATGAGGGTGTTACAAGTTAGTATCAGAGCTTTAGTTTAAGGTAATTAGGTTAAGATTTACTTAGCCTAAGCTTAAACTGAGAGGATTATTAGAAGCTTTAGTTTAAGGTAACTAGGTTAAGATTTACTTAGCCTAAGCTTAAACTGAGAGGATTCTTAGAAGCACATGTTTATTGTGTATTAGTATTGCTTATCATGCGATTAAGTTTGATCCTACGTTACTACTTGACATAGTGTTCCTTTTATGACTTGTGGGAGACATGGTTCACACCATTCACACTAGGTCTATCAGACGCAGACGTTGACGCGGATACAGAACACATAGGACACCTTACGGGCTAGGACCGAATAGAGGATCTATTGACAATCACCGCTCCAGCGCCAGATATGTTTCCGGTACCCGGTCCAGAAGCGATAGTCTGTCCCACACTAGTGAAATGTCATCACGAGAGCCCATCAGGTGAAGGACCACACCCGAGCCTTCGGAGGACTACACGCCCCGCACCCCTACACGTGAGGACATGATGAAGACTATAGAGACCTTGAGGGGCGAGAACACAAAGTTAAGAGAGAGGTTGACCCGAACTTTAGATGGGAATACTAGACTGAATGAATGGCTGAACAATCTTCAGTAGGCACATGTCGAACAAGGAGGAGCCCTAAACGAGCTAATTGTAGAGAATGCAAATTTGTCGGAACAGCGTCATGCACTGATATGGGATAAAGTTGTACTTGAACAGGAGCGAAGAATTGATGCTCGCCCCGTATGCGCTAGATTCAGAGACAGAGTTCAGTTCTATAAGAAAATGACCATAGACTATGCTGGTGTAGTGAGGGGCTATTTCTCCGACTAGGTCCAATGCATCAAAAATGGCCCAAAGGCTAGTGTGTTGTGGCATTCCAGGCCATCCACATCTTTTGAGGAGTGGTTGAGGGACCCTTATCTCCCTTATTACCCCGCAGATCAGTTTTAGACATAGAATCCTTTTGAGAGAGGGGAGAGAGAAAGATCTTTTGGGTATGTGATTTAATTGTGCGTGTCTAGATAGTTGATCGAATTTTCTTCTAGTCCAGTGCTTCAATATATTTTTTTTGAGCATTCACATGATTTAAAGATGTGTTTAGAATTATGAAGTATCCCATCTTTTGTAAGTAAATGGGATTATGTAATGTCTCTCTCTCCATGATTGTTTATTGACACGAAATATATATAGCTTGCTGAGCATTATGAAGTTTTCGACGTGAATTCCTTATTTTGTACTTCGCTTATATATAGTGATTATATTATATATAAAAAAAATGTACTGTGTTATGTTTTACTTTAGAACCATTTTAAAACGATAATACCCTATTATGTCAGTATGGTTTCTCGTGGATCAACAAGGAACGCTCTCAATGGGGGAGGTACTAATGGCATAGCCCCACCAACAATTCGAGGTCGGACACGAGCCCAAAGTCAAGGTCGAGGAAGTGTTCGAACCGCTAATTCTAGTACGACTTCATCCATGCAAGCTAATTTAGCTATCGGTAGGAGTCAAGGAGGCCGGGAAGGGGAAAATCCCCTCACAAAGGAAATGATAGTTGAGCAAATGGCACAAGTCCTCCGGGATACATTGCCAAATATGCTTAAAGCAATGTTGGGTGACAAATTTAAAGACAATGAAGATGGAGATGAGGAAAGTGTTCGACATGAGAATACTCAAGCCACTGAAAAGGTGGAAGTATCTGTTAAAGAGAAGGTGGAGTCACCCACCAACGAGAGAACTGAATTGACAATAAAGGAGAAAGGATGCAGTTTTAAAACATTCAAAGGCACCAGGCCGAAAGAATTTAAGGGAATAGAGGGCCCAGTTGGCCTGATGAACTGGGTAACCAAGATGCAGAGTAGCTTCAAAATTTGTAGATGCGTAGAAGATCAAAAAGTGACCTATGCTGCTACAACCTTTGTAGACTATGCATTACATTGGTGGGAGTCTGAGTGTGCAATCAGAGGTGATAAGGATATTGCTGCCATGACTTGGGAGCAAATGAAAAAGATGATGATGGATAAGTACTGCACGCAATCAGAGGTGAACAAGCTAGAATCAGAATTTCTGAGATTAAAGCAAGGTTCGTTGTCGGTTCAAGAATATGTTAATGATTTTCTTGAGAAAGCGAGGTTCGCCAGTTACCAGGTGGCTACCGAGGAGAGAAAGATAGGTCGCTTCAAAGACGGCTTAAGAATCGAAATCAAACGGTACGTGGACATGACTAAACCGACCACATTTGTCCAAGCAGTGGAGATGGCGAAGGTGGCAGAGGAGAACAACGCTAGGGAGAATTATGATAGAAGAGATGCAAAAAGAAGATGGGAAGGATCGAACAAGTTCAACAAGAAACCAAAATGGACTCCGACTCGGGCAAAAACACGAAGTGAGGGATTCACTATTCCTCCATGTAACAAATGCAACAAGAGACATAGGGGAGAGTGCAGAGCGGGGAGCCTGACATGCTACAAATGTGACAAACCTGGGCATACAGCGCGGGAGTGCCCAGAAAGAAAAACTTGTTATGAATGTGGGGCTATGGGACATTTACGACATGACTGTCCAAAACATCGAAATGGTGCGACACCCCACATAAAGACAGTGAATAATGGATTTGGGAAGAGATCAGAAAATAGGAAGGAGCTACTTAAGGGACACGGCTGAGCTTACAACATGACTTTGGAGGAGGCCAAGGAAACACCCGACGTCGTATCTGGTATGTTCCCTATCAACAATGTATATGCACATGTATTATTTGATTCGGGTGCAAATAGTATTTTGTGTCTACTACCTTCTGCCACTATCTGAATAGGAGTGCCTATAGACTAGACAATACCTACACTGTAGAAACAACCGACGGTAGTCAGTGTAAGGTAGACGAAGTATTTGATGAATGCACAATTGTTATAGATGGTAAGGATTTCCCTATTAGGCTTATGCCAATGTGTTTAGGGGGTTTTGACGTGGTCTTGGGGATGGATTGGTTGTCCCAATCATGTGCAAATAGTATGCAATAAAAATATGATCAAGATTCAAACTCCGGAAGGAGAAACAATTCATGTTTACGGTGATCGAAAGAAGTGTTGCGTAGGGTTAATCAATGCAGTTAAGGCGAATAGGTGTCTGCGGAAGGGATGTGTGGCTTCCCTGACGTCAAGCTCGAAAAGAAGGCAATACATGATGTTCCAGTGGTGAGGGATTACCCAGAAGTATTCCCGGATGAATTATTGGGAATACCACCGGAACTCAAAGTAGAGTTTCGAATCGATTCGGTACCAGGTGCGGCACCAATCGCAAGAGCACCTTATCGTTTAGCCCCAACAGAAATGCAAGAGCTGATGAAGCAATTACAAGAACTCTTAGATAAAGGGTTTATCAGGCCAAGCTCGTCACCATGGGGAGCATCGATTTTGTTCGTCAAAAAGAAAGACGGCACGATGAGGATGTGCATCGATTATCGGGAGTTGAACAAAATCACGATAAAGAACAAATATCCATTGCCAAGGATCGACGACCTTTTCGATCAGTTGCAAGGAGCCAGCTGTTTCTCAAAAATCATTTGAGATCGGGTTACCATCAGTTGAAGGTTCAAGAAGAGGACGTGTCGAAGACCACTTTTAGGACTCGTTACGGACATTACGAATTTGTAGTAATGTCGTTTGGGTTAACAAACGCACATGCGGCATTCATGGACTTAATGAATCGAGTTTGTGGACCGTATTTGGACCAATTTGTCATAGTCTTTATAGATGACATTTTGATCTATTAAAAAAGTAAAAAGGAGCATGAACAACACTTAAGGATGATTCTTGAATTACTAGCAAAAGAGCAATTGTACGCCAAGTTCTCGAAATGTGAGTTTTGGTTGCATAAGGTACAATTCCTTGGTCATGTAGTCAACACGAAAGGGATCAAGGTGGATCCGGCTAAGATTGATGTAGTTATGAACTGGGAATCACCAAAGTCAGTATCGGAGATCCGAAGTTTTCTAGGCCTAGCAGGGTATTACCGAAGATTCATCCAAGATTTCTCCAAGATAGCAACGCCTTTGACAACACTGACAAAGAAGTCAGTTAAGTTTGATTGGGGAACAAAACAAGAAGAAGCATTTCAGACACTTAAGGATAGACTAAGCACTGCACCGGTTTTATCACTACCGGAAGAAGTAGAAGATTTTGTCGTTTATAGCGATGCATCAAAAATGGGTTTGGGTTGTGTACTAATGCAGCGAGGCAAGGTTATTGCATATGCGTGACGTCAGTTGAAAGAACACGAGGGGAAATACCCAACTCAGGACATAGAATTAGCAGCTGTAGTCTTCGCGCTAAAAATGTGGAGATACTATTTATACGGTACGAAGTGCATGATCTATACTGATCATAAGAGCCTTAAATACTTGTTTGACCAAAAGGAGCTAAATATGAGACAAAGGAGATGGATGGAACTACTTAAGGATTATGATTGTGAGATTCATTACCACCCAGGTAAGACAAATGTAGTTGCCGATGCACTTAATAGAAAGGAGAGGAACGGACCAATCAGGGTTCGAGCCATGCGGATGAGTGTTAAAGTGGAGCTTCTAGACCGAATATGGGATGTCCAAAAGGTAGCTTTAAACGAACATCAAAAAGGAGAGAATGATTGGACAAATTAAGACTTTGACAGCTGGACCAGATGGAATATATAGACATGAGAATCGGGTTTGGATTCCTAGTTTGGGGGACCTAAGAAATGTAGTGATGGATGAAGCACATAAGTCCAAATACACTATGCATCCAGGTAGTAATAAGATGTACAAGAACATAAAAGAAAGCTATTGGAGGCCTGGTATGAAAAGGGCAGTAGCTAGCTACGTGGGGAAATGTTTGACGTGCTTGAAAGTGAAGACCGAACATCAAAGACCGTCTGGAATGCTGCAACAAATGGATATCCAGTATGAAAGTGGGATATGATCACAATGGATTTTGTCACCAAACTTCCAAGGACGGTAAAGGGACACGACGCCATATGGGTAATTGTGGATCGACTAATGAAATCTGCTCACTTCTTACCGATCAGCGACAAGTATACATTAGAAAGATTGGCCCAACTTTACGTCAATGAGATCATGTCGAGACATGGTGTACCGATATCCATTGTCTCAGATAGAGATGTTAGGTTTACTTCGAGATTTTGGTCAAGTTTTCAACAAGAAATGGGAACACGGTTGAACATAAGTACTGCATATCATCCTCAAACTGATGGCCAGAGTGAGAGGACGATACAAACACTAGAATATATGTTGAGAGCTTGTGTGATTGACTTTGGAGGTAATTGGGACAACCACCTCCCATTGATAGAATTTGCTTATAACAATAGTTACCATTCGAGCATCAAGGCGGTACCATTTGAAGCGTTATATGGTCGTAAGTGTAGAACTCCAATTTGTTGGACAGACATTGGAGAAAGACAACTAGCTGGACCCGAGTTAGTCCAACAGACATCTAATAAAATAGTACAGATAAGGGAGAGGTTAAAGGTTGCGCAAGATAGACAAAAGAGTTATGCGGATAGAAGACGTCGACCTTTGGAATTTTAAGTAGGTGATAAGGTCTTGTTGAAAATATCGCCATGGAAAGGGGTCGTAAGATTTGGAAAGAAAGGTAAGCTAAGTCCAAGGTATATCGGACCATTTGAGATAACTGCAAGAGTAGGAGTAGTTGCTTATCGGTTGAAGCTACCAAATGAGTTAGGTGGTATTCACGATACCTTTCATGTGTCGAACTTGAGGAAATGTTTAGCTGACGAATCAACTGTTGTGGATTTGGAAGACATCGAGGTTAACGACAAGCTCGCTTATGTGGAAGAACCAGTTGATATATTGGATAAAAAGATGAAAAGACTAAGAAACAAAAGTATATATCATTGGTATTAGTTAAGTGGAAATTCCATAAAGGTGCAGAAATGACGTGGGAACCGGAAGAAGAAATGAAAGCTAAATATCTTCAATTGTTTTAGCGAGTATTAATTCTGATGACGAAATTTCTTGAAGGAGGGAAGAGTTGTAAAACCCAAAAATTTCGAGGAATAAATAATTTTATCTTCGTTAATATTCTTTTCATTTCTTTTTTTTCTTTTTTGAATTATAAAACACACACACGTACTTATATATATATATATATATATAAATTAAATGAATAAAGAAATTAAAAGAAGTTTAAAAATCGGACCAAAAGTGAAAGAAAAAGTCAAGACATGGGTGAAAGTTGTAAATTCGCGATAGTTAAGGGGTTGGGTCARATGTAAACAGGTCCAAATCAGAAGGACCTGTTTTGTAAATTCGCTAGATCTGAAATTTTCAGAAACTTGAAAACGACATTTCGTTTGAAGCCTTCTATTGGTCTGAATATTCACTATTATGACAAAAAAATTACATATACATGTAGACAACACTTTGCTCTATATTTTTGCTTCAAGAAAACCGAACTTTCGTTGAGTTTTGAAAGAGAAATCAGAGGTTGAAGTTCGGGTTTGAAAAGTTCCGTTTATTGACGATTGGAGGTAAAATACTCAACCAAATTTCGAGTTCTTTATATGGATGGCTTCGTTTTTAGGTCCTCTATGAAACCTTAGTAGTCTTATGTCTCATATTTTAGTTTTGAATGTTCGATTTTGAGTTTTTTTACTGATTTTTTAGTGGTTTTAAGACCTTAACTTTAAACGAGTGTGTGAGACTCAATACTTGATGGTTTTCATTGATTTTTGTTTCTATGGTTGAAGAAAATCATTTTCTAAAGATTTTGCAAAAAGAATCATCGAAAACAATGAAGAAACGAGGCCAAACGGCTTGTTTTTCCGGCTGCCGGCGTGATCATTACAGCTGGCTGATTGTTGGGCCACGATTTTTGTTGGGCCACGATTTTGTTGGGCTTTCTATTTTATTTCATTGATGTTGTGCCAAATATGAGACTATATTTTAGGCCCTTAATTTTTGGGGCTTAATTGAGTATTTAAGGTATAAGAGTTTTGTTAATTTATAGTTAATAAATTTCAGATTTAGTTAATTAGTTTATATTAACTAATTAATTTAATTTCTAAATTAGTTAATATATTAAATTGAATTAGTATTTAATAATATATTAATTTTTTTTAATATTAATATTAGCTAATTATTTATTGTTTAGGGAGGATGCTTATATAAATCAATAAATTGTTTTGATGATTTAAGTAAAGTAGTTATTGTGACGTTTTAATTTGGAGAGATGAGATTATAAGATATTAAAATATTTTTTTGGGATGACATCGAGTCTTAGACTTAGGCTTGACTAAAGTTAGTCGGGGTTGACCTAGTTGACCAAGGGTTGACCTTTGGCACGTTTGTCCCATGTGGATATTAATGATGGGTCAAATAGAGTTGTTTGAGGCATATTAAGATGCTCGGATACGAAGTTTGACTTTAGATTGGATCAAAATGATAATAGTTGACTTTTGTTGACTTTTTGAAAATTAAGACGTTAATGAGATGTTATGGTATGAAATATGTAGGCATTTGGTCAAAAGCGATCGGTAGTCAATTTATACGCAATCAGGTGAGTCTTCATGAGACTTACAATGGGATGCATACCTATGTATAAATTTATTTTCGGGCATTATATGATTTATATGGTAATGTGTACATATGCATG